ACCCTGGGGAGCTCCAGGGTCTCTCCTGGTCCCAAAAGGTCTCCATGGTCACCTCTCTCCATCCAAGAGGGTCTCCATGGACTCCTTTGGATTGAGAGGGGCCCCATGGTCTTCCTTGAGCCTCAGGGAGCTCCAGGGTTTCTCCTGGTCGAAGAGGGTCTCCATGGTTGTGTCTCTCAATCCAAGAGTCTCCATGGTCTCCTTTGACCCTCCCTTGATTTGAGAGAGTGTCCACGATCTTTCTTGGGAGACCCTTCCCCAGGGACTCCCTTGAACCTCAGGGGGCTCCAGGGTCTCTCCTGGTCCCAAAAGGGTCTCTGTGGTCACCTTCATCCAAGAGGGTCTCCATGGACTCCTTTGGATTGAGAGGGGCTCCATGATCTCCCATGAGCCTTGGGGAGCTCCAGGGTTTCTCCTGGTCCCAAAAGGGTCCCCATGGTCACCCCTCTCAACCCAAGAGGGTCCCCATGGCCCCCTTTGACCCTGGGGGGCTCCCTGGTTCTCCTTTGGATTGAGAGGATCTCCATGGTCTCCCTTGAGCCTCGGAGAGCTCCAGAGTCTCTCCTGGTCCAAAAGCGTCTCTCCATGCTCACCTCTCTCCATCCAAGAGGGTCTCCATGGTCTCCTTTGGATTGAGAGGGGCTCCATCGACTCCCTTGAGCCTTGGGGAGCTCCAGAGTTTCTCCTGGAGGGAGAGGGTCTCCTAAGAGGTTTCTAAGAGGGTCTCCATGGTTGTGTCTCTCAATCCAAGAGTCTCCATGGTCTCCTTTGACCCTCCCTTTGTTTGAGAGGGTCACCATGATCTCCCTTGGGAGACCCTTCCCCAGGGACTCCCTTGAGCCTCAGGTTGCTCCAGGGTCTCTCCTGGTCCCAAAAGGTGTCCGTGGTCACCTCTCTCCATCCAAGAGGGTCTCCATGGTCTTCTTTGGGTTGAGAGGGGCTCCATGGTCTCCCTTGAACCTCGGGGAGGTCCAAGGGTTTCTTCTGGTCCCAAAAGGGTCTCCATGGTTCTGTGTCTCAATCTAAGAGATACTCCATGATCTCCTTTGACCCTCCCTTGATTTGAGAGAGTCTCCATGATCTTTCTTGGGACACCCTTCCCCAGGGACTCCCTTCAACCTCAGGGAGCTCCAGAGTCTCTCCTGGTCCAAAAGGGTCTCTTCATGGTCACCTCTCTCCATCCAAAAGGGCCTCCATGGTCTCCTTTGGATTGAGAGGGGCTCCATGGTCTCCCTTGAGCCTCAGGGAGCTCCAAGGTTTCCCCTGGTCCAAGAGGGTCTCCATGGTCACCTCTCTCAATCCAAGAGAGTGTCCATGGTCTCTCTTGGTTTGAGAGGGGTTCCAGAGTTTCCCTTGGCCCTGGGGGGTTCCAGGGGTTCCCTTGATCCAGGAGGATCCCTTCATGGTCTCCCTTGAATTGAGAGGGGCTCCAGGGACTCCCTTAAACCTTGGACAGCTCCAGAGTTCCCCTTGGCCCAAGAGGGTCTCCATGGTCACCTCTCTCAATCCAAGAGTGTCTCCACGGTCTCCCTTGCTTTGAGAGGGGCTCCATGAGGGGGGCTCCATAGCCTCCCTAGAACCTTGGGAAGCTTCAGGGTTTCTCCTGGCCCAAGTGGGTTTCCATTCCATGGTTGTGTCTCTCAATCCAAGAGGGTCTCTGTGGTCTCCTTTGGTTTGAAAGGGGCTCCAGCATTCCCCTTGGCCCTGGGGGGCTCTGGGGGTTCCCTTGATCCAGGAGGGACTCCATGGTCTCCCTTGCTTTGAGAGGGGCTCCATGAGAGGGGCTCCATAGTCTTCCTAGAACCTTGGGAAGCTGCAGGGAGGTTCCCTCAGTTTAAGAGGGTCTCCCTTGCTTTGAGAGGGGTTCCAGGGGCTCCCTTGGTCCAAGGAACTCCAGGGTTTCCCCTGGTCCAAGAGGGTCTCCATGGTCACTTCCCTTGGTTCCCAGGGGTCTCCATGGTCTCCCTGGGTTTGAGAAGGGCTCCATTGTGTCTCTTGAACCTTGGGGAGCTTCAGGGTTTCCCTTGGTCCAAGAGGACCTCCATGGGTGTTTGTCAGTCCAAGAGAGGATCCATGGTTTCCCTTGGCCCTGGAGGAATCCCTTGGATTGAGAGATGCTCCATGGTCTCCCTTGAACCTTGGGGAGCTCCAGGGTTTCCCTTGACCCCGGGGGGCTCCCTTGGCCCAAGAGGGTCCTGAGGTCCTTGGTCCTGAGGAGCTCTCTTGGCCCAGGAGAATCTCCATGGATGCCTCTCTCAATCCAAGAGGATCTCCATGGTTGTCACTCAATCCAAGAGATTTCCATGGTTGTTTCTCAGTCCAAGAGGGTCTCTACAGTCGCCTCTCTCAATCCAAGAGGATCTCTATGGTCCCCTCTCTAATCCAAGTGAGTCTCCATGTTTGTCTCAATCCATGAGGATCTCTATCATTGCCTCTCTCAATCCAAGAAATTTCCATGTTTACTTCTCAATCCAAGAGGATCTCCATGGCTGTCTCCCAATCCAAGAGGATCTCCATGGATGCCTCTCCCAATCCAAGAGGATGTCCATGGATGCCTCTCTCAGTCCAAGAGGATGTCCATGGTAGTCTCTCAATCCAAGAGGATCTCCATGGATGCCTCTCCCAATTCAAGAGGATTTCCATGGTTGCCTCTCCCAATGTAAGAGGATGTCCATGGATGCCTCTCTCAATCCAAGAGGATCTCTATCATTGCCTCTCTCAATCCAAAAGGATCTCCATGGTTGCCCCTCAATCCAAGAGGATCTCCATGGATGCCTCTCCCAATCCAAGAGGATCTCTCTGGTCCCCTCTCCAATCCAAGTGAGTCTCCATGGTTGTCTCAATCCAAGAGGATCTCCATGAATGCCTCTCTCAATCCAAGAGAATTTCCACGGTTGCCTTTCCCAATCTAAGAGGATCTCCATGGTTCTCACCCCGGGAGGGTCTCCACGCTCTCCCCTGATCCCGGAGCTCTCCCTGCCCCTCTCCCGGGGGCTCCAGCCCCTCGTGCTCCGTGCCCGCTCCCGGGGGTGCCGCGGGCGCTCCGGCCGGTGCAGGGGCGGGGCGGGGGGTGGTTACCTGGCCAGATGATGGCTTCCAGCAAGGTGACCCTTCTAGCCAGGACCTCCAGCCGGGCCTGCTGCCGCAGGAGGGTTTGGAAGCTACTGGCCTGGGGGAGAGGGAGAGAGCAGAGCAGAGCAGAGCAGAGCGTTGGCCCCGCGGGGGCACGGGGGGCACAGGGGGCATGGCGGGGGGCACGGCAGGGCGGGGGGCACGGCGTGGCACGGGGGGCACAGCGGGATGGGGGGCAGCCCCAGCGGGGGGGGGGATGGTGCACTGGGGGGGGGTGCCAGGTCTGCCGGGTGGGTGCCCTCCCGGGGGGTCCTGTGGCTCCAGGAGGCTGTGAGGGCCTCCCCCAGCCCTGGGGGTCCCTCGTGGGGACCCTCCAGCAGGCACAGCTGGCTCGGTGTCCCTGAGAGCGCCCTGAGGGGGACACTGGTGTCCCCTACTTGGGGATATTCCCTCTGCCACCCTCAGTATGTCGAGCCCCCCAAAACATGGGGGGACATGTCCCCAACATGTCCAGGGGGACACTGATGTCCCCTACCTGGGGACACTCTCCCTGCCACCCCCAGTACACTGAGCTCCCCAAAAGACTGAGGGACATGTCCCCAACCTGTCCAGGGGGATACAGATGTCACCAACTTGGGGACATTGCCACCCCCGGCACACAGAGCCCCCTAAAACATGAGGGGACACATCCACAACCTGTCCAGGGGGACATTAATGTCCCCTACCTGGGGACACTCTCCCTGCCACCCCAAGCATGCTGAGCTCCCCAAAAGACTGAGGGACATGTCCCCAACTTGTCCAGGGGGACACTGATGTCCCCTACTTGGGGACACTCCCTCTGCCACCCCCAACACACTGAGCTCCCCAAAACATGGGGGGACATGTCTCCAACCTGTTCAGGGAGCCATTAATGTCACCTACCTGGGGACACTCCCTCTGCCACCCCCAGTATGCTGACCTCCCCAAAACATGGGGACACATGTCCCCAACCTGCCCAGGGGGCCACCAGTTTGTCCCCAAGATGGAGACTGTCCCAGGTGTCCCTGCCCGAGGTGGGCAGTGCCCGGGGAGGCTCTGGGGTGCCCGGCTGTGGCTGCAGGCGGGGGGACCCCGGTGGCCTTTCCTTTTCGTGGTCCCCACTGCTGGCCATGATGTCACCATGTGGTGGCCAAGGGCCATCATGGCATCATGGGGGCCTGGTCACCTACTGGCAGGGATGGGGGTCACCCTTCAGAGTGGGGGTCACCCCTTGGCCCTGTCCCCCCACAGTGGAGGGGAGGGAGTGCCAAGAGTCCATGTCTATGACATCAGCGAGCCAAGGGCCACCGTGATGTCACAGGGACCTGGTGACCTGCTGGCAGGGATGGGGGTCACCCCCAAGGGCCCACTCCCTCATGGTGGAGGGGAGGGGGTGCTGAGGGTCCCCTCCCCAAAGCTCCGTGACATGAGCAAGCCAAGGGCCACCGTGATGTCACAGGGACCTGCCAGCAGGGTTGGGGGTCACCCTGGGAGTCCCTGTGCCCCCACGGTCCAAGGGTCCATGTCCATGACATCAGCGAGCCAAGGGCCACCATGATGTCACAGGAACTGGTAACCTGCCAGTGGGGTTTGGGGCCACCCCTCAGAGTGGGGGTCACACCCTGGCCCTGTCCCCTCCCCACAGTTCCATGACATGAGCGAGCCAAGGGCCACTGTGACATCATGGGGACCTGCCAGCGGGGTTGGGGGTCACCCTGGGAGTCCCTGTGCCCCCACAGTGGAGGGGAGGGGGTGCCAAGGGTCCCCTCCCCAAAGCTGCATGACATCAGCGAGCCAAGGGCCACCACAGGGACCTGGTGACCTGCCAGCAGGGTTGGGGGTCACCCCTCGGAGCAGGGATCACCCCACTGGCCCTATCCCCCCACGGTGGAGGTGAGGGAGTGCTGAGGGTCCCCTCCCCACAGCTCCATGACATCAGCGAGCCAAGGGCCGCTGTGATGTCACAGGGACCTGCTGGCAGGGATGGGGGTCACCCCTGGACGGGGGGGCACCCTGGGGGTCCCCGTGCCCCCTACCCACGGTAAAGCCCAATCTTGGTTTCCAAGATTAAAACCCTCTCCGCTAAAATCTTCAGCCCCCCCCGGGGGGGGGCCCAACCCCCCCCCGGGGGTAAAGGGAGGGAGGGCTGGGGGGGGGCTGTACCCCCCCACGGCCCTGTGCCACCCCCCCGGGGGCAGAACGGAGGGGACACGGGGACCCCCCCCCGCCTGTCACCCCCCAGCTCACCGTGACGCCGGGGGAAGGACTGGGGGTACCCGGGGGGGGGGGCCTGAGCCCACCCTGTGCCCCCAGCATGGCTCTGTGCCCCCCTGTGCTGGGGGTGGGGGGTCACCGAGGGGTTGGTGAGGTGCCACATCATCCCAGTCAGGTGACATTGGCACCGGGCACAGCTGAGGACACCCAGGCCATCA